GACGGCACTGCTCACACCTGACGCTGCCGACCTGATCTTACAGCTACAAGATATTAGCTTGCGTGGATCTCCCAGCTGCTTGCAAGATTAGCTTGAGTAGATCTCATCGGTCTAATGCTAGGTATATTATTAATTAGTTCTAATTGAGCTAGTATTAAGCACTATTAAGCATGCTATATCGATACGAGAGATTAAATGTTTTTGTCGTGATCGGGATAGTTGATTGCTGGCTTCAAATTTTTAAACTAATAGTGAGAGTTAGTAATTTTTACAACATCTCGTGGTATTGCAATGAGATTAGTATTTGGTATAAAGTTTCTTCCGTGTTCGTTTATTGTCTAAATATCTCTGGGCATAAAATACAACTTAAAATGCCGTATGTTATGCGGTCAAAATAAGCACAACAGATTATTTCTTTCCTTGTATCACCAAAATCATAAAAATCTTTAAGTGCGGAAGAGCTATGCTTCGGCACGAATGGGCCGGCTCGACCGGAGTGACACCACGGCCTCACAGAAAACCGACGTGAAGCAACGCTTGCGTTGTGTTTCGTCGTGTAAATGAGGTTACCGGAGGCCCAATTCCTTCCCCTTCCCCAATCTCCGCAATCCCTGAATCCCTCCTAATCCCCAAAAACCCGGTGACGCACTTGTAACGCATCTGGTGTTCCAGGTGTCCATGGGCGACGCCGATTGCTTACCATCAGGTGATCCGTCTGCTCGTTTACCGGCTTATGCCATAAAAAGAAAAAACTTCAATATACACACGAATTTCTCTATACACGACATACTTTAATTTTTCACCAAAAAACTATCATTTGTTAGTTTCGCCACACCTTTTATTTCGTATACGTTGATGTGTTAGAATCAATTACGGCGATGACTCGGCACGTTGGAGCAGCAATGGAGTGCGTTATTGTTATAAACATCTGTTTGCATGTGCCAACTGAATATAATATAAAAGATTAATGAAGTCACAGCTCTATTGTTAGGTTGGGACTTGATTTAGTTTATATTTGAAGGTGAATATGTGAACACTTGCAGACAGAGAGTAAAATCAAGGATCATAATCCTGGATATTTTTGATCCATGATTGACTAACCGTTATTTGATTGAATTGACACATTAAAAGTACGTGTGTACCTATTTTCCTAAGCACTATGTGAGGGTACAAATACTTCTTATATGCAGTAGCTGTATATATTACATTTTAATCAGTATTTACTAAATAATTTTCTACTGAAAACTTGCATTTTTGTCACGTTAATCAACATCCAAGAACATCAACTGTCAATCTACATTGTTCTCAAAACGCAACAATAACTACGTGCACTACTTCCAAATTCAAAAACCAACCGACCAAACTAAATCGAAAACCGTCGAACCGAATGTTTGTCGATAGAAATTTTATCGATCGACAATTTTTGCAATTCATCGTAAAGGGGCCCACACAAAAGTTTTAATTGTGAAAAAAAAAAAAACAGAATTGTATGAATAGTAATTAAAAACCATCAATGGTGAATCAAGAGTGTCCAATTGTGATTGACGACTTGAAAACGAAGATATTATTGTTAGTTTGTCATTGGTGATTAGGGAATGACGATGACGTTTGTGATTGAAATCTCCAAGTGCCGGTAATTGATGTATTTGTTTGAATAGAATATAATTACGACTGCAAGTATGTGTTGATTGAACAGCATATAACTTTGACTGAAAGATAATGATATATCTATTTAAAAGATATCTTTATTTTAATCCGAAGATTTTATGCTTATTATACTCGTCCACTAAGAGTTCTTAACTTGAGAGCGCCAATTTGATTAGCTGTTCATGTTCATAATGTCTAAAGAGTCTTATGGTCCTTCGGTCTGCACTTTAAGTGTTGAGGGGTAAAAACAAACCGGTTATGTAATTTACCCTGAAAATTACATTTTGCACTTCATTAGCCTCGTATCACCACGCTTCCCTGCCGGCAGGGTCAGAAGACAAAACTGCAGTGTCATGACGTCGATCATTGTGATTCCTTTGAGACGACAGCCGTTGTCTGAGTCCGGTGACGGCAAACAGCAATGCTCTCTTCCACTTTGATCCAAAGACATAGTCTCTCTATCAAGGATCGAAATTTTACACCATCAATTAGGTATTTGTGAAAGAAACAATTTACTTAATAGTGTCAATGAATAAATATTAAAACAAATTAAAAATAATAGGAGATGATAATGTTCTTAATTTATTAACCATTTTATAGTGCGTGGGCGATTATCTGACAGAACAAACGGTATTTTTTACAACAAAGAAATGTTTATGACATTATTTTCTATCTTAGAAATATGTGCATAATTTTTAATATGCCAGAGATTCAATAAGCCAATATAATTTTGTTAAAGAATTTAAAACGGCTATGTAATTTGAATAAAAAACGTTCGCCGGCCATATCTTGGGTACGAAACAAGAGTTTTATTGTTATGTTCTGTTAATTAAAATAGAATATATAAAAATAATATACAATTTAAAATCTTTTATATTACACAGACATTAAAAAAGTTTTATTATGAAAAGATAAGAGGACATTTAATATTGTTATTTGGTGTGTTAGCATCGATTCTGCGGTTGTAAGTGGCGCCGAGCAGCGAATGACAGACACCGACAAAGCGGCCGGCGCGCGGCGGTCCATAGTCCATACAGGCGATCGTCTAATTGTGTGATTTGATACCAAAACGCTTTGTTAAACCTCACGGAAATCTCTATCGTTATCTATACACAACAAATTTATCTTTTGTAGCCGTGTTCACGATTTTCATTGGATGGATCTAATTAAATAGAACGAAGCGGAACGGAGTCTCGATGGCAAAAGCTTAGATCTAGAGTGCGCTGACATGAATGATGTTACAGTGATTGGTGATAGTAATTACTATATCATTTCTATAGCTTTCAGAGGAACTACTTTCAGTAGATATTTAAGCATCTAATTGATTTCTATTTTGATTTACATCATAATGTTCTTTACTCTTCATAACTTCAAGCATATCACTTTACACCATAAGTAGCACTTGTACAAGTCTTAACTATAAGTTATCTATGTACAAAGCAAAGGTCAAAACGAACAACAATTACTGTTCCAATGTAATTCGCATTTTATTATCATACAATACAGGACAAAATAAATTAGAAGTAACATGGTTAGCATCCATAAATCCATCATATTTACAGGCCTTTTACGAGCCGCTTTCTTTCAAAATATTAATTAAATCGCCAGTATCGTTTGCAATCAACTTTGGGCTTTAATTAGTAATGTGTTCCCGTCACTGGATGACTTATGGCATATTGGATGTGTACCGATAGCGTGCCTCGTAAATAATCTTTAAGCAAATATTGGCAATATCTTTGGCAATGCCGATTGTGGCCTCTGTGGTTCTCGACCTTAGAATTCATAGGGTTCAGATCTAGTTTCCCGTTTTACAACTTTTCTGAGATTATCTTATTTTGAAGTTTTTGTTCAGCCATGCATTAAACACTACAACCTACTTATTGCCATCACTTTAATATTTTGATAAAAGAAACTTCTTTTTTATGCATTGCTATCTATGTAGTAAGTACCAACATCTAATATCTATATAAAATGTATATTTTTTGTCTATTATATTATCATCATATTAACAGTTAACTTTATTGTAGTTACAGATAGATTGCACAGTCTTGATTTTATAAGCTGCACAAGCAACTACTAGTTCCTCAATGAACATTACTATAATTTATAACTCTAGAACAAGAACGTCACATACTTAAGATCCATCAACGTTTGCCGTGGTATTGTCGAGGCGTGACTGTTACTCTTACAATGGGGTCACGATAATTATTGTCAATTACAATTATATTTACAATGACTTTTACTAACGTTATATTCAAAACATTTGACATTTATCCTCATCTCAATTTTAGACGGCCATCCGACCCACGGCTTTGTTGTATCGCAAATTATATTATAATAGTTTTCTACATACACGTCATATTCGCATTGTTTGTACGACATTTCATGTTGGAAATTATTCTAAATGAACATTTAAATCACATTTCAAAATGATTACTGTTTAGTTTGAATTTTGTTTATCGAAATGTGTTTTGTTTGACCGAATTCGATTGATAAATAATAGTGCATTATTATCAAAGTTATTATTGTTATTTGCTCTTTAAATTTGCTGTTTTACGAAAAACCAATTCGGGTATTTGATGGACATCAATCCATCTGGTTTGGTCTAATCCAGACCATACTACTACAGAACATTAGCAAAACTGTAATCAAATATTCAGGTGATGCTAAAAGTAGTACAAAAGAATACAAAGATCATCAAGGATCAATTTTACACAACAGTAAGCCATTCTAACAACCCAACTATATATAAATTGACTTATAAACCGAAGACTAGACATAACTCGTGTGACTTAATTAAAATGGCCGTTTTAAATTAGTCATTATATACAATCAAATATATGTGAAATCTAACAATGTTTATAACGCTAGTTTATAACATTCGGATCTGTTTACGATCTGGCCAGCGATTTACAAAGCGTTCGCGTGATGGGGCTTCATAAAATGTATCTTTATAACTTGAGTAGGATTACTGTATTAATTTGTGTATGAGTGACGAACGGACCGACTCTCGATGTCTTGTTTACGGTATTCGTGTTCGGATATACTAATGTTCTAAGTATTATTTGTGTGTGACAATATTTCATGACACTACGTTTAGTAAATTGTAGCAAAATATTGGTCCTTTTGTACGCATTATTGTTATTGCGTATGTGTGGAATATTTTTGCTGTTTCGGAATTTGACACAAAGAATTGTAATTGCCGTCTGTTATTTAGGACTAATAAACTAGCTAGAAAAATAGTTTATTATATATTAGACTTGACTTAACAGTTGTTTGCTCCTAGATTGGGCAGAAGGGTCATAACTATGATATAATAATAATATGATCTAAATATTTATTTGTTGTTTCAGATTTGCATCCTGTGATAGTTATGGCGTAATAAGGCGACACAACGTGAGTTATACATGTCCATATAAAACAATTATCCATTTTAGGAACGTAAATGAAAAATTAGTGCTACCACTGATAAAAGGCTATCAAAAGTTAACTGCTCTAGGTAATGAAATGTCAAATAGATTCAATCAACAAAACATTGTATACTACACCGTTAACGACGGGCCTTATTAATTTTTATAGACATGGTAACACTGTTATAGTTAGGAATAACTACTTTTAAGGTACCTCAGCTATTTAGCTATTAGTTGGCTAGTTTTCTAGGTTTAAAATAAATTGTTTCGACTTTTCAATGCAATAAATAATTAAAAATAATCATTCTCTCATCCATTGATTTAACAATTCACAAACTTTTGTATTTTCGCTAATTTTAAGGAAATAAGTATGCTATTTGACGCAGAAATATGATGACGTCATAAGTTGCGATCCAATACAAAATTCATAGAAAAGTATCGTTTTTGACATTTCAATATAAGTATTGAATTTGACTACCTGTCAACTACCGTATTAGGAGATAGGCGTTAATATTTATGTACCAATGTGTATTTTGAATTACTTCCTAACTTTTTTATCATTATCGTGATGATTTGTAAAACTCTATACAAATTAAACTCTAAAACGCGAGATGACAACAGCCGTAATGTTAAGATCTATAAGTGGATCGTTGATCGACAGCGCGATGCGTACGCGCATGCAAACTGTTATTTAGAAACATGTGATCTATTGCACAGCTTTCTATAAATTTATGAGGAAAGGAGATTATGTTTGATTAATTGTTGACATGCGCACTAACGATGTCTTACTGTGACCATCAATTTCACTTGTAGTCATTTCGGCAATGCACGTGTATGAGTTCTAAAAAATGTACGGAAAGAATTTAGTGGGAAGGAAGTTATAATCAATTATAGTTTGTAATGAATTATTTGCGGTATTTGGTATCATTTTTGTAGAGGTATAAAATAATGAAGTCCTGTTAACACTATTTAAAAAAATATCAAAATACCAATTGTATTGTGTGTGACACCTCGCCCTATAAGTAGTGTAAGTAAGTTATTAGGTCACTTAATTAAAGTAACGGGTAACACGTCTCCCTGATTGCTACACATTGCAAGGCGATCCTGCCAGAGGTTTTCAATTTGGAATCAATTTAACACCTACTATACTTATCATCATCTACTCATACTGTCTTAGGAAGTCCTGTTCCATTGCTCCTGTTGCTATACAAGATATGTAGACCTGAAACAATCCTGAATTCTCCAACCCCTCATGCGTAAATACTAATGATCTATTAGTGGCCTGTTGATCGACAGCACTGCGCGCGCGCCGACAGATGTGCGCCTGATCTATGGCTTCATATTAACGTTAAATGTTGCGTCCAACTCGTTGTCTGACCTTTTAGCTGTGTCGCTTGGCGACTCTGGTGGTCTCCCAGGCATTTTAGGTCGGAGAAATTATAATTTAATATATGGGATACCTAGCTGTTGTGTGTTATTATTATGTTTTGTCGATAACATGTTGTTGAGTTCCGTGGTTTTAGACGTGCTATTAATGATAGATGTCTTTTCTTAAAAGTGTCTTGTGTGTTACGAAACGATGGTCTGCGTCTAAATTAAACATAGCTTTGACTTAAAAAACGTCCTCTAATAGTATTTACATTTCATCTTCTGCTTAACTGCAAGTTATGAAATGAAGGGAATTTTTACAGCGAGACGTGAATTCTACTAAATTTTATAATTCCATTAAGGTTCTCATCTCTAGGTACAAAACCCTCCGATCTAATCAATTAGCAACACATCTCTTCAAATCAATAGTCCCTAACACTTGCACGTCCGTCTATTTTCAACTACAAATGTCCCAGCCGACATTAGGCTGTGCTCAATTATTCACAGAACAAGTACCCACGTAAGTTGGGGTCTGTACTGGCTGGTCCTAGGTTGTAACCTTATGATTTATGCCCTGATGGCTCGTGTACCAATGTCAAGTGTGGCTTGACAGTCGAGGCTTACACATTTCAGGGTCGTTGGGACTTGGGACACTGGGAATGTCGCCGATGGTTTTCGATGGTGTTTCCTTTGTGGTGTTGCTGGTTATTTTTGGAGTCTTTTGAAAGATTAACAACAGTGAATCTGTATTTGTTAGGAATATAGATTACGTAGTTAGGTAGGATGGGCAAGATTAAATTGTATTGTTTTTAAAGTAATATTTGCTTATCTCTTATCTTCTCTCCAAAATATTTGTTTTCTTATTTGGTTTAGGTACTTGTTTATTTGGCTTAAAAATAATTTAAAGATGTCATGTCCTTAAGTCTCTGATTGCCGACAGAAAACTATTGAAAGCAAATCCTCTGCAAACGCCGCGGTTAACGTGCTAAGGTAAAGTTTATGTTGTTGTAAACATTAAACGCGTATTATTTGTAAAGAATAAAAAAATTGGAAAAACTGATTCACCTGTACATATAAAAGGACTCATATAACATGTAACATGTTGATATATTTACTCAACGCCCATATAATCGTAAACAACAACTACTTACGTCATCATTCAAAACGAACAAATTACTTTGACTCATCATTTTGACTTTGAAGCAAATCACCTACTTAGTTACAGAACTGGAATAAATTCGACATTGTCAACTGGAACAATCGCGACTTCTGAACAAGAAGTTCAATTCCTGGGACAAGAAACACATTACACTTTACACCTTTAAGATCTTCGAAAATTCTTTTTGCCTTATAACACGGGATCTGGAATATGATTGCGGAGTTATGATGACGTCCTAAAGTTAGAATAGTTCCATTGAGGTAAAGAAACAGAGCTATACAAGTCGTCTAGCGAGGTCTCGTTCCCTCAGCGGAACCACGGCTTTAAGACGTCATAATACGCCACCAGGTATATGTTAATAAATTTTCTATGGGGTTTTAACAAATCCAGCGAAAAGTTGAAATTACATACAACTAATTTTATGTTCCTCGATACATTTGTCTCCTATAAGGCGTGTTACAAATTCGACGCAAGACGTTGTTCATAGGAGTCCGGTCCAAGTAGAGTCCGATGTAACTTGTGTCCAGTCATTGCACCAATTATGTCGGGACAACGTACAGACAGACAGAAGCACTGCACTATGCATGGTACACGTCTCGTCTCTCAACTGTAATGAGATAATTCTGGCGACGAAACTAATCGTGTCGATGTTTGTCTTGAGTTAATTTTGAACTAAGACAAGGATTAGTCCTTGGTTGTCCTTGGTTAATGGATGCGAGTGACGGGAGTTAAGATAAGGCTTTTGGTATTTGGAGGTAATATTCTTGAAATTGAGATTTGTCTTATAAGTAACGTTGTTACAATTAGTAGGATCCATGTAATGTACTCATCGCCAATAAATGCTGTGTCAGTCTATGACTTACCACTTCTTTTACAAATTGCAAATCATGTGTGATGTGTCCACTAACAGTCACAAGAACCCAATTTAGACTAATAAAGAGAACTTAAAAATAACAAAACTAATGAGACATCATTTTCTCTTGACTAAACACAAATAAGATGTAAGTTTAAAACCAGGAAATAATTCTGGATTAACAACAAATAAATCATTAGTAATATTGCATCACATCAAAAGGGTAGCGGCATAAAACACGCGAAACGATGGCGACCCGCACCAAACTTTACGAGCAGATACCGAGAACGGACGAAATGGCGTCTTATAAATCAATTTAATCTCCTCACCAAAGACAATTGGTATACTACTCATTATGACAAACATCTCACCAATCAAATCCCAGCCGAAAAATTTGAACTTAAAGTACATAATTCTTTGCAAATTTTTCGTCACTTACGACGCTTTTCCGATCATCTCTCGCGCATGAATCAAGTCGGACGTCGCGTTTCGAACGCCAGAGTTGAATTAATGCCTAATGCTGTACAAAGGCATGTAATCGTTGTATGACTTTTATAGTTGTATGGCTAATATCTCGGCGGTAAATCAAAAGGTACATAATTGTACAAATAGGTCGCTGTGACGGTTATTTGTTGTCTTGTGCGAGTATGTATTGATGCTGGACCGTATTTGGGAGAACATGGAACTGCTTATCTGGAGACATTAATTGTTCCTATTGCTCTGCTGGCGCTGGTGGACAAATTGGGTTTAAATTGTCGTATTTATTAATGATAGCCGTACTTTTCTCTATGTTTCCGTTGCTATACGCATGAACAATTAGAGAACTGTGTCTTAAATCTTCCTAAAAAGTACTCACATAAGCGTGTAAAAACTCCTTAAAATCAATGAAGCTATAACTCCAGTCCACATTGACTACAGTTCGCATTACACCGAGTTTACAACGGCTCTAACAATACAGCACAATTTACGACAAGTACCATATTTCATGTTTTATCACCCATCATTCAAATGCCACACTAAGTCGACTGTGAGACACTTCCCTGAAACTAGTGTCTCATAGCTTCCTTAGTCATGTTTAGCAAGTCAATATATATATTATTCAATATATATTATATTGCATAATATTCAACAGAGATTGGTAGCAACAGATCAGTATCTGATAAATCTGCTCCTTTTGAACTGCGATTTCTAACCCGACAGGCAGGCCCCTCTCTTATTTAGAGGAGACCCATGGTACAGTTAGATTCTCCCGTGTTGTTGATGATAGCTTAAGGTAGAATACTCGTATTATTCCCTGCTACGCTCCAACCTTACGTTAGTGCCTAATACCTAATTTCCGCCAGTTATGATTATGTTACAAGACCCACAATGTCATATTTAATGCAATTTTAAAAGCCCAAAGATATATTATGTGGATGTGGGCCAATGAAAACTCAACAACACTTTGCTTAGACTAAATTAGGCTTTCAGTCAGTACCTTACTAGAACAACTAACTCGCCTAGTTTCTATTCTTCAGAATCTGCATAGGGAACTAATACGAGTGACTGCGGCCAGTGTATTTTTGATATGTCTGCAACCGCCACTTTGTACCGAATTAGAAGCCAT